GTCAGAGTACGAATTTGTATAAGTTATTTGGAAATGGTTAATTGAATGCTGCTTCCGACTGTAACATTTCATGTAATTGTCGGCGGAAAAGAATCGAAGGGAATGTAGCGACTGAAAGTTTCCAGCATATGCACCATTTCGTCTGGCATCTCGTACTTTGTTAAATCGAGCGACAGTGGTTTTCGCAAGAAGAGGCCTTTCATTTCTCTTACTTTGAAAGTACCACGTAAACCCAATTATCTGCATAGTGCCAGTTCCACACCAACAGTTGCGATGCTGTGTATCCCTGCAACTGTGTCCTGTGGTCGCTGATTGCTAACAAGAGGAAACTGGATCCTTTCATGCGAACCTCAATCTTTTCCTTTTCGATTTTCATCTTGCACTTGAAGGACACTCGTGTGTCTTGACATCGAAACATCTTGGAACATGTCTTTCATCTCGTGTTTTACTGTGATTCTGTCAATTTGGGTCACACTGAAGACACGGATTCTGACACCGCAATGGAGTTTGATGATAAAGGCTGTTCTCCGGGCTTTACATGTACCTTGCGTAGAACACTCTCGAACCGTTTGCCTGTCCATTCGGTACGTCTTCATTCTTTGTCAGCATCAGAGGGCAGTTGTAGTACATCTTCAATGCCGATCAACACGTCCGTTGTCATGTCACAATCCGATTCGCCACATGTTGTCCAGAAGTTTTTCTTGATGCGGTTGCTTGTTACTGGAACGTACTGCTTGTGATCATTGTACATTTCCATGCTGTCCATCACAAATCATAATGCCCCCATGTAAACATTGTCAGCATCCGCAGGAGCATTTGCGACACAGATTGCTGGAAAACTGTAGTGTTGACCACGTCTCGCTCCCAATTATAGTGTCATGCAACTTGAATGTTGGAGTTCGGTTTATGGTTCTTTGACACGACACAGTGATGGTTGTATGTACATTATGTCATCCTTGTTGGCTTCCCCGCTCGAAAAGTTTAAGTCTTTCGCCCCAAGAATATCATTTCGAAATCGATGCATTCATCCAACTCGATATACGCATTAAGAGACCTTGAAAAGCAGCGCATTCTCGTTTGTAAAGGGGATCTCGTTTGGGTGGCGTTAACTGTGAGAAGTCTCCCGCGAAAACCATGTTACAGTCCTCCGAATGGCTTGAATGTGTTTCCCTTGATGTCTTGAAGGTTCTTGTAAATCTTGTTGATATGGCCTTCGCACGCAAATGAAACTTCGTCAATGATCACCAATCTTGATCCGTCCCATCCTTGTAAGAAGTCAACATCCTCGACTGTTCTCCGGTTTATCCCGATAGCGCTGTGTGTTGTCTCACCGTGAAGTAACGTAGCGGCTACGCCTGATAAGGCTGTAATAACTATCGTTCGTGAAGTGAATTCAGAGCCAATCAGTTTACAGAATTCGCGTGCGTAGGCTGTGGTAAGGTTGATCACGGTAGTTTTGCCACTGCCTCCAGGACCGTGGACAAGACATATGAGCTGGGTTCCTTCGCCTCCTTTCAAGAGTTTCAGGTTTTTCTTCGTATTGCGATACTTCTCGATCACAGTGAATTCAATTAAGCCATCGTTCTCCTCGTCTACCCACCTCATCATAGAATGTCAACAGGGAGTGTTCCAACATTGTTCATCGGGTTTTGAACTTCAATGTACAGAAGTTGACGTATTCCTCGTTCCGTTTCCATGACAGTTACTGGTACGTTAACGGTTTCGGTGACGGTACCGGTACCGGTCGCGGTTACGGTCGCGTTACCGTATGTGCACGCACACACCTGTACAGACGTTAAAACCCGTTAAATACAGGTTTGGTACTTACGGATACACATGACCGTTGATTCTGCAACTGAAGTGCGGGTACACTATTTTACACAGTAAACGCGAGCGAATCGGTTTCGGAGTGCAACTGAGGGGGAATCTAAAAGGAGCGTCGTCTCAAGGAGACGTAACAACCGCGTCCAACTTCCGACCATCATGGGAAAGACGTCACGACGTCCCGACCGGCCCTTGACTTCCTCCTGGAGGTAGAGCTTGTTTGATGTTGACCATGCCAAGAAGACATTGGTTGGCAAGAGGACTTGTTTCCGGTGTGAACGGAGTGGTTGGTGTCCAGATTGGCTTGTCGGTCGCCTCGGTTGCTCGTAGTCAACTAGTTCCATTCGGAGGAACCCCTTCATTCAATTCTCATGCGTCAGAGGCAACCCCCAAGTGCCAGTATGAAGAAGCTGTCAAGAGCTACCTGACAAGGATTTACCGATACGAGCACTCCCATAATAAGAATAAGGATCTGTCGTTGCAGAGTAGAGGTCTTACTGTGAAGCTCGCAGACGGGGTTACGTGGCAAGACCCCAAATGCACTTTTCGGGGTCTCCAAGAGGTCCGACAAGCCTTTTGTTTTCCTGTGGAACTGGCAGATGCACCACTGTGTGTCAACGTAGACGCATCGGAAGGAGGAGACAACATTGTCTTGACCTATACATTGTCGTACAACAACAACCAATGCCAATCCCTCTTGAGCGTGTGGGTCAAAAAAGTTCCAAAAAAGGACTCTCTTCAAATGGCGGAGATTGTCATAACCAAGATGGAGGAACAATGGAATGGGATGCCCTTGCTGCGATCATTGCCTTTCCGGACTGTACGACGCATCAATGGACTTGCTGCCTATCATGCAAGTCTTGGGTTGGGTTGGTAGACTAGTCTATCAGTGCCTTCCAACAGAAAGAAGTTGGATCTTTTGCCTTTCAAAGTACCGTGATGTACCTCTTCTTGCTCTATTCAAAGACCGCCATGATCCCAAGGCGCTGGCTGGCGCCGCACGCAGTTAACGTCTGAGAGTGGAGTTGTCCAAATCCAAGCGCGATCTTTTCTTATACTGTATAGCGTGGAATTACTGAAAATTTCAGCCACCGTGGACGCCGGTACTATAGCAACAGCACCCAGTGCCATGTCAGTGATGCTATTCCATTCCACGCTGCCTTTGCATACAGGAGAGATAAGATTTCGCTGCAGTCACTGTTTGCTCTCTCTCTCTCTCATCTTGGAAGATACGGAAATCTGTTACAGTTGATTGAAAGTCTCGTGAAGGGAATCAAGGGCGACGATGAGACGAGGAGGTTACTCCAACCGAAACAGATCTTCTGGCAGGCCAGACAATTGGAAGAAGCGAAGTGTATTTACCAAGCTCCTCAAAGACGAAAATGCGGATATGCGGGACACCTACCACGCGCGGAGGTTCCTGGAAGGAATGGAAACATTCGAGTCCAAAGCAGAGCTGCTGTCGGAACTGGACAATCCTAGAAATGAAGGGAAACGGCGGCTTCGAGACCTCTTGTCCTTTATCAACTCTTCAGAAGATGTGGAGGAATTGCTCATTCCTCTTTTGGGGCATGTGATGAATCAGGAAACACAGAGACCAGTCTATCGACCACTGTTGAACAAGATGCTGCTCGAAATCTATCACACACCGCTCCTTATGCATGTCATTGACGAGAACTGTGTCGTGGAACAACTCAGCGGCACATCTGCCAATCAGTTCTGTTCGTTCTTGAGGACCATCACCAAAGCATTCATGGAACCAAGAAAATGCCAGACGGTCCAGAATCTGGCAAAAGGACTACGTGAAAGAGGCGATGTTGATGAAGCGAAGCGCTTGTGTGCTCTCCTGCTCCTGGACGAACGAGAGGAGGGCGAGTTGCATCTGACACCAAAGGACAACAGGATGAACCGCAACAAGCCAAAGGGTGTGGCATGTTGGGTGACGGACTTGGAGCCACCCGGTGGGCGCCATGACAATGATCATCTGAACTATAGAGACATCCGCATCGTGCCGACTGTCGCAGAGTTGGCATGCGAAGATAAGCCCTACCTGCCATTGGCGAGTGGCGAAAACAACTTTATCAACGACCCTGTAGCAGCGCTACTGGATCGGAACTTTCGCCTACTTCGAGAAGATGCTGTGAGTTCCATGAGGACCAACATTGCCGAATCCGAAACCAAATGCTGGAAGAACGCCAGGATTGTCGACATTCACGTATCTTCCAAAAAACCGAGGTGGTCGGTTTTCTTTGTCATTCAGTGTGACAGTAGATCTGGTGGGGCATCCAATTGGAAACGTTTGAGAGCCTTCATGCATGGTTCTGTGGTGGCCCTCTGTCGGGGCGGCCGGCCCGTTCGAATGGGAACTGTCGCGTTGCGCGAGGATTCTATCAGAGGGGAGTGGTTGAACGACCCAAACGGACCGAGGATCGGCGTCTTGTTTGAGTCACAAGAAGAGTTCCGCGATTCAATAGAGGAAATGGTCAAGAATTGTGCGTGGAATGACAATTACTGCAAGTCGATGGCAGAGCTTTCAGATGTTGGGCGGAACGATCCTTACCGCAATGTACTGGACGAGCGGATCCAAGTGTGTGCGGCCCAGATGGAAACGTATGACTTGGTGGAAGTCTCAAAGTCTTTCTTTGCGTACCAGCCCATTCTGAGAACGCTGCAAGGGATGGATTCGCTCCCGTTGTCGCATGAACTGACAGGTGCTGGCATTGCTTCACAAAAACCAGCGTATCTACCGGAAGAGATTACGCTGCCCGAAAAGGACTTTGGTGGCGTGCTGTGCGACTTGAGCAACTTTTCTGTGGACAATATAGTGGAGCAAACGACACTCGACAAGTCTCAAGCAGAGGCACTCAAACATACTTTGACTTCCAGCGTGGTCTTGACGCAAGGTCCGCCAGGTACGAAGCAGCGTCTGATGCAGTGGTGTTGATATTGTTGTTCAGGTTGGCTTCTTATTCTCAACCATGATGTTCTTTTTCAGGAACTGGGAAGACTTTCATCGGAGCCTTGGTAGCACGGATCATACGAGAGAATACCGATGAGTCTATTCTCTGTGTGTGCCACACGAATCACGCCCTTGATCAATTCCTGGAACACTTACTGTCCATGGGAGAGACCCGCATTGTGCGGATGGGAGGGCGATCTAAATCTGACAAACTTTCTCGTTATCAGCTGAAAGACCTTGCAAGGTCAAAGTCTCAGAACAGTACCAGTTGTCAAAAGCGTATCAAACAGGTGCATGCTCACCTTTACCAAGTCAAAGAAAGCATCGAAGAGATCATTGATATTCTCAAGACCCCCCTTGGTTGGAGGCAGCCATCAGGTGGTATGGAGGAGTATCTGGTGCTTGAAGCACCAAAGGTGTACGAGTTCTTCAGAGTTCCGACTGGACCCGATGATGGACAGTATAATGTGGTGGGCCGGAAGGGCAAAAAACTCAGTAGAGACTTCCTTTGGAACTGTTGGAAGCAGGGCGAAGGTTTTCCTTTGTGGTTGGAGCCGCACATGTCAATCAATCAAAATCTGATGAAGGAGTTCTATGCTTTTTGGAATCTGACGTTGAACCAGCGTGCAAAGCTGATCGACGAATGGAGGCGCGACATTATGGGGTCCCATTGTGACTGCGTGGCCGATTTCATGGAGGACTTCAGCCTTCATGCAGAGGAGGACAAGACTCTCTGTCGCGAGGCAGAGCTCGAAATCTTACGCTCAGCAAGGGTTATTGGTGCTACTACAGCGGGAGCTGCGGTTAACCACGACATTCTATCAGCAAAAGCAGCGGGCGTAATAGTAGTCGAAGAGGCTGGAGAAGTGTTGGAATCCCATGTGCTGACGGCTCTTGCGGGGGGCACAAGCGAAGGACACAGCAGCAAGCACCTTATCTTGATTGGCGATCACAAACAGCTGCCCCCGAAGGTCGAGAACTACGATTTGACAACAACGTCTGGGAACGGACTGAACCTGGATTGTTCCCTTTTTGAAAGGTTGATTCTCGGTGGTCGACCATCTGCAGCATTGGCAGTACAACATCGAATGAGACCTACCATATCCGCGTTGATTCGAAGTCAGACATATCCGTTGTTGCGGGATCACGAATCGGTCTCCGGCTATCCCGATGTCAAGGGCGTGAGCGAAAACCTCTTGTTCATTGATCACAACATACCAGAGGACGGCGCTGACGAGGATAACACAACAACAAAATCCAACGACTACGAGGCCAACCTGTGTGTGGAGATTGTTCGCTTCCTCCTTCTGCAAGGTTACAGGACTGACCAACTGGTTGTTCTGACGCCCTACTTGGGCCAGTTACTCTCGATAATGAATAAGCTGAAAAGCATCCGTGACGTTGAGGCCGTTGTAAGCGACCGCGATATTGAGGAGTTGGACGAGCTCGAGGCGGAAGGAAACAGTCAGAGTCCAAGCCAATCATTCGCTACTTCATCATCGGAAAGGGAAAAGAAAGGCGTTCGGTGCTCGTCGATAGACAACTACCAGGGCGAAGAATCCGATATTGTTGTCATATCACGTAAGTGCTTTCTCTGTTAATTGCTTGCAACATTTCTCATTGCACGCCAGAAACAATACTCACCGTGATACCTCTTGCAGTTGTCCGTTCGAACAAACAGGGCAACATTGGATTTATGAAGGAGAGGCAGAGAGTGAATGTGCTGCTTTCTCGGGCGCGTCATGGCATGTTTCTTGTTGGAAACTCATCTACATTGCGAAGTTCAGGGAAAGGAAGCGCTGTCTGGACCCCAATCCTCGAACAGCTGACAGTCGCAGGGCGCGTGACGAAAGGGCTGCCAACAATCTGTCAACTGCATCCAAACGACGAACCAATCGAGCTCTGTCACCCTAAGGAGTTTCGAGGTTACCGACCGAATGGTGGCTGCTTGCGTCAATGTACATATAGGTTGAACTGCGGTCATGTGTGTGGAATGATGTGTCATCCAACAGATCGAACCCATGATGCTGCACAAAGAAATTGTTGCGAGCCCTGCAGACGATTCCCTCCAAAGTGCACTCGAAATCACCCTTGTCCCAAGCTGTGCCGTGATGATTGTGGCCCTTGCCTAGCAAGTGTGTATTCTGTGCCGTTGACTTGCGGGCACATAGCAGCAGAGGCAAGATGCCACGATGTGCGATCTCCAGAAGCAATCGAACATTTCTCCACTAGATGCCAAGTGAAAGTTACCCATGAGTTCCGCTGCGGCCACGTGTCCGAGACCCCGTGCTCAAACACAAAGTCGACTCAACCTCTATGCCCCGAACCTTGTGGCATTGTTTTGAAATGCGGGCACGCATGTAGCAGCAGGTAGGTCATGACTTGTCACAGACTTTGGAGCTCCGTCATCAATAATTACTTGTCTGACATGGTACGGGGCGCCTGCTTTTTGCCCGTACAGGTGCGGCAAGTGCAACGGTGAACATCAATGCGGTCTTAAATGTGAAAGATTATTGTTCTGCGGGCACCAATGCGACCGTCCGTGCCACGAGGGCTCGAAGTGCCCACCCTGCAAGAAACCATGTGGCTCAAGATGCAGCCATTCGTCGTGTCCACGGAAATGTGAATTTCCAGTAAGTTTCGTGATACAGCGTTCTTGATGCCTTCGTTCTCTGCTTCTCTAAGCAAGCACTATCTTTTGTGGCAGTGTCCTTCATGTGTGGAACGCTGCGATTGGCAATGCATCCACCAAGGTCAATGCCCTCTCGTTTGTGGTGCTCCATGCGCCCGCCTTCCCTGCAATGAGGTGAGACGCGACCACAAAGAATTGCCATTTGTTATTTTTTGGTTGAGTCTAACCAGCTTCTCGTGTGATCACAAGCGATGCGTTAAAATCCTGTCGTGCGGCCACCAATGCCCTTCGGTTTGTGGCGAAGATTGTCCCGACTCATCCTTTTGCCAACAGTGCGGTGCAAACAAGCACTTGAATCAGGTTGTAGACATGATCAGTCTGTCAACATACGGAGAGCATGACCCAAGCGAGGACCCTTTGATCTTTCTGCCTTGTGGGCACTTTTACACTATGTCGACCATGGATGGTGTGATAGATATAGGCAAAGTCTACCAGATGAACAAAGAAGGATCCTTTGTTGGTCTTGCACCTCGTGGAAACGACATCAGCGAGAAAGTCCAAACGTGCCCTGACTGTCGCTCTATTATTCATTCTGTGCGTCGCTACGGACGTGTATTACGACTTGTTGAGCTGCGTGGACTTGAGCGAAAGCACTTGGCAAGGGCCGATCGAGCATTGGAAGCGAATGAGCAGCGGATTCGAGCAACCCTGACGAGAGAGGTGCAGTACGACCACGCAGCTGCGAGTGAACAACAACAAATGCTCGGGCACTTGAACAAGCTGGAAGATATGATTCGGAAGAGTCCGATGAATAGGGTCTTTCAAGCCTGTGGAGGATCGAACCTTGTCGAGTCGGTTGCGCCACCCACGAAGCCATTGATACGATGCTTTCAGCTCCGCGCTCTTGTGTACGACCACTGGGCCACGCATTTTGATGATGACAACTTTCGTGGTGCGAAGAAAGCTTATCTCGAAGCCATGAAGATTGCAGATGGAAGCACCAGTCTTAGATCGGGTGCGCAGATTAGGTTGTCACTGGCAAAGCTCATTCTCAAGTATTGTGACGATGTGGAGACGATTCGCAAGGATGTCAATGCAATGCTGGACTGGGTCCAGAAGGAGTCTCAGCTACACGCAGCGCACGAGATTGTACTGGATGCCCAGAAGCTGAAGCTGGAGATCAGTCAGCGTAATGATACGAAGACGCTCCGTTCTATCATGTCGGCAATGAACAAAATGGATGGCTACGATTATGGAGGGTCAGCGTCGTCTCACTGGTATGAGTGCCCCAATGGCCATCCCTATTTCATCGGTGAGTGTGGTGGAGCCATGCAAACAGCCCGTTGCATCGAATGTGGCGCAACTGTTGGTGGCGCTAGTCACCATCTGATCAGCGACAACCGGAGCGTTGGTGGAGTGTACCGTGATGCTCTTTCGCGATAGCTGCATGGTTTTTCTCACTACCATCTGTGACCTACGAGGATTCCACCCATCGAGTGACGAGTCTAATCCAATCGCTACGGCTGCAGACTGCGGTTGTCTTTGGCCTTTGACCCATTCAGCCCAGCATCAGCAGTAGAACCAGCAGTTACAAGGTGCCATGGGTGCCATGAAGCCAGGTAGACGCCAAACGCGGCCATGCAGTCCTAGCTCAACTGATTATATTTCAACTGGCCCCTTGTCCATCTACATGCCGGTAGCTAGCTAGTAGATCTACATGTAGTTCGTCTCCCAAACCTGGCCATCGCTGGTTCCGTAGATCACAGCTAGCTGGTTCCAGCTACAGACTACTCCAGTGACTCCAGTAGGAGCTGGTTTGTACTGGTTCGGTTCATTATGACCAATGACCAATGGATCCAACAGTGGTTCGCAGCCACTTATCGTTCGCGTGTTCATAGGACGCGAATAAATGGTCATTTTACAGCATTTGGGGGCTTCGGTTGAGACAAAAAAACCGGCATCAACGGGAATAAAAATGAGAGGTTGCCGCAGCCATGCATGCACCTCTCACAAATCTGCAGCAGACCAAAACTCCGAACAACCGCAAAACAACTAACTCGAGACATTCTAGTACACTGCCACCATGAAGATCCCTCTTCGCATAGATCCCATCAGGATTTCTCTGCGAGATCAAAGTAAAGGATTAAAGATTAACCACCAAACCTTTGTCTTTCATCATGAGGGAGAGAATGCTCTAAAGTTTCAAGATTGCTATGATCTAGGAGCCAAGCTTCGGACATTTAGGGATGTCTACAAATGCACTCATAAGGCAACCAAGACAGAACGCTCGGTCAAGATACTAGGACGTGAAACCATTGACAGGGAAACCTTTCTGGGAAAGCTTGCGATCCTCAAGAAAATGGACCATCCCAACCTAGTTCATGTGTTCGAATCCTTCGAAGATGGTAGCAACTATTATGTGGTCACTGAGAGCATGGCCCATGACAGTCTCTATGATGCTATCTCAACGAAACGGGAAGCTGGTGTGGCTTTTGGGAAGCCACACGTGGCTCAGATCTTGCTGACACTATTGGAATGCCTCAACTACTGTCATTCACACAATGTCATCCATGGGAATATCCAGCCCAAGAACATTCTGGTTCCCACCGGAATGGGCTTTGATAAGCTACTTGTGGTCAACTTTTTTGATTCTTCTGTCAGCCTTGAAAAGCGACGGTCATCAGGGGCAAGGGCTGGAGACAGCAGTGATGATGACAGCACGGATGGAACTTCTGCCGGTATGGGACGCACCTCAAAACGAAAGACTCGTTTTGCCGCACCAGAAGCCGGTGCTGATGGAGGCACACACACCAAGTCAGACATTTGGTCCTGTGGAGTGATTGGATACCACCTGCTGACTGGGAAATATCCATTTGAAAAGCCATCGGATAGCCGAAAGCCAATTTCTCGGAAGGCATGGAAAGGTATGGACCCTGAGGCGCAGGAATTCCTACGGGAGCTGCTGGCCTTTCGCCCATCAGATCGTCCACCTGCCTCAGAAGCATATGATGCTGACTGGTTGGCTTTGGCCAAGTCAGTGGAAGCCAAGGTTGATTCGGCCATGCAGGATGAAGTCATGAAATCTCTAAGCAAATTCAGCAAGAAGGACAAGCTCCAGCAGGCAGTCAGTGCCTACATTGCCACCCATCTTTTGGCCAAGATTGACAAGGAAAAATGGGATGAGATCTATAGGCACAGTGACCGGAACAGTGATGGTGTCATTTCTAAGAAGGAGCTACTGGACGGGTTTGCCAAGGCTGGGATTCGTATCCCACGCAATGAGATGGATGAGCTCTTTGTGCGGTTGGATATGGATGGTGAGTTTTTCTTCTTCTCGAGAACAAAAGCTGCTGTGGCTACTGCATTGTCTGACCCCTCCCCTTCCTTCTCCCTTCCTTCTCTATACAGGCAATGGTGTCATTGACTACTCAGAGTTCTTGGCAATGCAGGGTGACCTTGTTTGCCAACGTGACAAGTTGCGAGCAGCCTTTGATGCCTTTGATACGGATGGAAATGGGTACATTGAAAAGGAAGACTTGCAAGTGATTTTCCAAAGTCCTGGGGAAAAGGTTATCTCCAAGTCAACAGCCAAAGCCATGCTCAAGAGTGCAGACCAGGATGGTGATGGAAAGCTGTCATTTGAAGAGTTTGTGGTTATGATGGGGAACCATTGATAATTTAGCGATGGCTTGTGATACATGTTGCGCGGCGATGGCTACGCTGTAAAGGCCCTGTGTGTACAGAGAGGCAGGATGACCCTCCAGAAATTTGAATGTTATTTATTTTTTGACCATGGTTGTGACGGATGGCCGTGATTGGGCAAGCACGTGATGCTGCCGTCGAGGCGAAATGAGAAAATCTTGTGCATGCTAGATGCCTTACCAAGTACCGGTGTGGCGAGCTAAATGATAAGACTTCCCTACTCTAAAGCTTACTTATTCCTAAGTAGCAGCCCCATCTTATCCGTGATGACAGGTGTGCCAGCAGACCAGATCGTCCCATGAGCCGAAGTACGCTCCAACTTCGTCCCAAACTCCGAGTCCAAAGAGCTACCCTGCAGGGATGGAGCTGGTGGCCTCTCGCCCACTCACTCCAAGGTTGATCATGGTCTCTGCAGCTACAGCAGCTTCGCAGGCTAGCTACGGATCCGGAGAGTGTACGGGTACATAGATAGTACTTTGACTGTGTGGCATACGGTACCGCTGTACCGGTCAATAGCTCTGAGATTTGGGTGATTGCTGTGGGTACCGTACATGTACGAAATGAGCAGAAGCACTGACAACGCAGTGGACGCCTTCAGAGTTGATGCATTCTATTCTTTGTAGGCCAAACCCGATCTTATGCATACTGGTACGTACCATACTGACTGCACTTCAAAGCAAGTACGATACCAACCCCCACGTTCACACCAGCCTCATGAACCAGGACCCTACTTTGAGACGCAGCAATGCACTGAGCCAAGCAGCAAGCAGAAGCCACCGGCACACCGGCACACAACAAGCAACGATCACAACGCACACATGGGCCCTTCTAAAATGAAGAATGATGTTCCGGTGGTAGCTCCAGTTGTACTGGTAAACGTTTACATATCTGAGCCCCAAATCCGACACTTCTCAGAGTACTCCAGAGTCCAGAGTTATACGAGTAGGCTAGGTCACAGTCTGCATGCAGCATGCAGTGTGAAGCGTGTGAAGGTGGTGATGTACCGGTCGTTGATGGATGATGAGCCAGGGAGGGAATTTAGTACCGGTACCGGTACCAGTACATACAATGCCATGTCATGTCGGAGAATGGGAACGTGATGAGGACCACAACGACCAGGTCGAGGTCCCGGCCTTGGTTGGTAATTACTGCAGTAATTCCTGGTTACTGGTTACTTACTGTACTTTTACTGCCTTTATTGGCCAGTAGTTACTGCAGTCAGTAATTCCTGGCAGTAATAAATCTGCCAATTCAACAGTAATTGACAGTAAATGACAGTAAAAGCACAGTATTCTCCCTATTTTACTGCAATTACTGTGATTTACTGCCTTCAAATGGCTTTAAATTACTGTACCTGATTACTGCTACTGAGGAATTACTGCATTACTGCCATTACTGCTACTGTTTGGCCCCTCCAGTCAGTAATCAGTAAACAGTAAATACCAACCAAGGTCCCGGCGGCAACATGTGGAAGTGTACATGTAAGAGATGTTTCCCTTGGCAGAATTCTGGCATGTGCCCTCTTTTTTTTGAGTCACTAGAGGCACCAATCTAAATCCTGGGGCTTATGTCACCAATTCAGCTGTACTGGTCCAGGTCCCACATCCCACACCCCAGCAACAGAATTGAATGTCAAGGATGCAAGGGCAGACACGCCTTCTTTCATTTTTCTTTGCTTTTTCAGCATCTTCATGAACGGCTTTCTTCGGCGAGCTCACAACTCAAAAGCAACTGAACGTATCAAAAAAGAGGACTCCGTGATACAAATAAATCATCTACTCGAGTATTGAGTATTATTAAAGTACGCCAGATGAAAATCGCTCTCGTTGCTCCAACCATGAAGCTCCCAATTTCCCTGTCAGGGAAAGCAAAGGAGGTAAATATTAACAACCAAACCTTTGTCTTTCATCATGAGGGAGAAAATGCTCCAAACTTTCAAGATTGCTATGAGCTTGGTGCCAAGCTTCGTCCCTTTCGGGATGTCTACAAGTGCACTCATAAGGCATCCAAGGAACAGCGTTCAGTCAAAATTCTTGGGAAAATGACCATTGATAAGGAGACCTTTCTGGGAAAGCTTGCAATCCTCAAGAAAATGGACCATCCAAACCTGGTTCATGTCTTGGAATCCTACGAAGATGACATCAACTACTTTGTTGTTGGTGAGAATATGGCCCATGATAGTCTCTATGATTCCATCTCAAAGAAACGGGAAGCTGGTGAGGCTTTTGGGAAGCCACATGTGGCTCAGATCTTGCTAACTCTGTTGGAATGCATGATCTACTGCCATTCGAATAACATCGTCCACGGCAATATCCAACCCAAGAACATTCTAATTCCTGAAGGCTCGGGCTTTGATAAGCTACTTGTGGTCAATTTTTTTGATTCTTCCGTCAGCATTGGAAGGACTGGATCAAAAGGTGCCAAGGCTGTGGCCGGAGACAGCAGTGACGAGGAGGATAATGCTGCGGATGTGGGGCGCATCGCTAAGAAAAAGACTCGGTTTGCTGCACCAGAAGCCAGTGCAAATGGAGGTACCAGCACCAAGTCTGATATTTGGTCCTGTGGTGTGATTGGATTTCATCTCCTGACTGGGAAATATCCTTTTGAAAAGCCCTCAGATAGCAGCAAGGCAATTTATCACAAGGCGTTGAAGCGTCTTGAACCAGAGGCACAAGAATTGCTGAAGGAGTTGCTTACCTACAATCCTCCTGATCGTCCGACTGCCGCGGAAGCGTACGATGCTGACTGGTTGGCTGTGGCCAAGTCAGTGGAAGCCAAGGTTGATTCGGCCATGCAGGATGAAGTCATGAAATCACTGAGCCAGTTTAGCAAAAAGGACAAGCTCCAGCAGGCAGTCAGTGCCTTCATTGCCACCCATCTTTTGGCCAAGATTGACAAAGAAAAATGGGATGAGATCTATAGGCACAGCGACCGTAACAGCGATGGTGTCATTTCTAAAAAGGAGCTACTGGATGGGTTTGCCAAAGCTGGGATCCGTATCCCACGCAATGAGATGGATGAGCTCTTTGTGCGGTTGGATATGGATGGTGAGCTTTGCTGTCTTGAAAACAAATTCTGTCCTGGCCATTGCAGTGTCTGATTTCCTCCCTGCTTCTTTGCTCTTCACAAACCAGGAAATGGCGTGGTTGATTACAGTGAATTCTTGGCTTTGCAAGGTGACCTTGTTTGCCAACGGGACAAGTTGCAAGCAGCCTTTGATGCCTTTGATACGGATGGAAATGGGTACATTGAAAAAGAAGACTTGCAGGTTATTTTCCACAGCCCAGGAGAAAAGGTTATCTCAAAGGCCACGGCTAAAGCCATGCTCAAGAGTGCAGACCAGGATGGGGATGGTCGACTGGTAAGTGCTAGTAGTAATCTATGTCATGGCCATAACTATCCGCAGCATTGCCGCTCATTGATCGACGTTTCTTGTGCCTCCCAGTCATTTGAAGAGTTTGTGGATATGATGGTGAAACAGTAAGACACGACAACAGCTGAAGATGAAATGGCGTGGGACATTGCTGCCTGCGTATTATGCATGCTCTATTTGTTTGTTTGCGTGCATGGTCTGTGAGGCGATGATTGCCCGTTGAAGCGAAGGTGTCAAGAGACTGGGAATCATCGGTGGAAGGAAACTGCGTTATTGAAGCGGAATCAAAATAATCTAAGATAAATCGCAAGGAAATGAGAGCTCGCCCCTACTGGCAACCAGGACGGATGCGGACAGCATTCCAGATTGCTTCTTCGTTTCGTTTGAGGGCTATTGTAGCCAGGGGTCACTCGACTTCCATGGCAGCGAACCGTGGAAAGTTTCCACGAAGTGCTTCTCTTCCATACGGTACCCTCTTCCGTTGATGATTGACGCGACGAAGCCAGTCTCCCGAAACTGTATACCGGCAGCCGCAACTAGCTAGCTAGTGGCGGGGCCAATAGCACCCCCATCAGGCTCTCTATGCCTTCTCCTGTCGTTGTCGCCGTTGCTGTTCATAGATTTGTAGCCGTGCATAGGCAGTGGATAAAAATGGCGTCGCAATGTCCCGCTGGGCAGCTCGACGAATCAAATCTCCCAGGATATGGTCGGCTTCGGTAGGATTGCCATTTTGCATGTCTCGGGCCATGGAGGCTCGTACGATGGACTTGGTATCTCCCAGAACTCGTTGAAAGATTTTCTCCTGTTGCTCGGCGTCGGGTTCCTTTCCCATCCAAGAGGTGGCCACCTGGTTGCATTCTCGATACACGCCTTGAATGTAGGAGGCACCTCCCGTGACACTGTGGATTTCACCAATGGTTGCGTCCAACAAACAGGTAGCAGCACCCAGTGTGGCCAAGAAGGTCCACTTTTCCCACATTTTGGCATAAATATCGGGGCTGACATTGGCGTCGATTCCTGCATCTTTCATGAGCTGGATTAATGCTTGCAGTACCCCTTCCTTTCCGGATGTTTGTGGCGTAAGGGCACTGTCGTGGCTGTCCTTGTTTGCATCCGGCGGTGGTAATAGTATTCCCGCCACGATAAACTGAGATTCCGTCATTTTCTTGATTGTGCCATCCGGGGTCAGCGTAGCTACAATGCCGCATGTTCCACCCCACACAATGGCGTCTGGAAAGCTTTGTTGAATGTCATCCAAATGGGCCATGCCGTTCAGGAGCGGCAAAATGGCAACTTGCGGGGAACAAAAGGGGGCGACGGCTTGGAGAGCACCTGCCAAACCATATGACTTGCACGTCAAGATGATAACGTCAAAACTTTCTGTGCTCTCTCCATCATCATCCGATGTGATCCATTGGACGTTGGAAATTGTGTTGATTTGACCATTATTGTTTTCAATTCTCAGCCCATCTCGAGTCAGTTGCTCTCCACGACCTGGTCGAACCAAGAATGTAACGTTGGCGCCCTGCTGGACTAATTTCCCGCCAAAGTAGCCTCCCACGGCACCACAGCCCAAGATCAGTATCTTCATTGCGTGCTTTACTTTCGCAAATCGAAGTAAACAGAAGAAGAAAAGGCCACCACTGCTGTCTGGTTGGGATGTTGGGATAGTAATAAGTAAATAAATACTAAAAAGATACGTTAAGGAGCGAGGGGGGCGAGGCTAGGCAAAGCAGTGGCTGCGGTGGTGGGTGGCTGGTGTGGTGGGCATACGGGGAGAGCAATGAGGACGCGAGCAGGGCAAAACAAGGGGGGCAGGGAAGGGGGTGCATGGAGGAAAACCAGGAAGGACAAGGGAGCAAAATTAGCGGAAGAGTGCAAGTGCACCATCGGCATCCCAGAGAGAACGACGGTAGCTCATTGTGCCAGCAGGGACACGAGAGCCACGCATGCAGAGGTGGCGGGCCCGAAGAATAGCTAGGCTGAGCCGAGCATTAACGTAGCCACGCACCACTGAGTAAGGGCGTTCCCACTTTGCAGCGAGCAAAGCGGAAATACGTTTCGCGAGTGCCTCAGCTTCGGGATAGTGGTTCTGTTCGAAAGGGGTTTGTCTCCAATGCAATGACGTGTTCGGTTGTTTAGGTTTAGAGTTAATTGCTTCGAAGTCCTTCCGTCCACATTTTCACAGACCCTTGCTATTCCACTACATGTACATGTAGATTAGCTAGCTAGCTAGAGCTAGACTGGTGTAATCCCATAGTAATCTATATATATGCACAACCCTGTCGCTCTCGACCTTCACTGCTCGCTACGATGCTGCCCACCCACATCATGCCGGAAGTGGGGATTGGCACACAGGAATTTGTCCAATGGTGCCCCCACCGGCAAAAACACGCTCCGGTGGCGCACCATGGCATTATAAATGCAATTGCTGCCCTTCTGAATTGCTGTGTTGCTATTTGGGCTAGTTTCTTTTTTATGAGCAATGCGATGTATTTTGTTCCCAGATTCGATTCACGCCACAACCCAAAGCTGGATAAAGTTCACGGGCTTTTTCAAAACGGGACTCCCCGGGATATGCATAACGTGGCGGGGACAATTGTCGTCGTCGCAGGCGACAGGATCAATGATCGAATTCACCCTCACTTAGAAAATTAGACTCTTATTATTATAACCGTGGCTCCACCAAATAAAATCGAGCGTTCGATTTGGGCCCTCCCACTGTGTCGTTAAAGCCCAAGTCCAAGACGATGCTCCATTCCGACACGCCGTGGTTCAAGGAAACCGATGGATTGTGTTCGGCATACCCCTTGACTTTGTAGTGGATTGGCTTGTCCCCATAAACATATTTGGAATACCCCATGCGCTTGCTGTCGTGGCGTCCTAAGCAATGAGTAATGAAACCCCGGACTCCGCACAAATGAGGAACCTTGTGTAGAGTATCGACGAATGTCAAGTCTTGTCGTCGTCGTGGTGTACGGGTGTGGTGGTGGTTGTCGTCTTCAGCTGTCGCCATGGAGAGCCGAAAAAATGGAGACTGATCACTCGACCGTCGATATCGACAGCCTCCTGGCAGTCCCTTTTGGAAATACTTTTTGTTCTTTGGATCTTTCAGTTTCTTGTTGGGGTTGTACTGATATGCCTCTGCGTCGTGATGTGGCCAGAGGTGATCGGTGTAGTGGTGACCGGGATTGTCGTTCCATTGCAGGTGCTTGGGATTATCTCGTGAATAGAGTTTGGCAACACGGGAGGACGATCCTTCCTCGGGAGGTCCCACGGCGATGGTCAAAAAGAACAGGCTGCTATAAAAGACGCCAACATAGAGACCAGGACAAAAGGGGTCCTTTAGGAAATTTGGGAGGGGATAGGCGATTGCGATGATTTGTTGGGTCAGTTCGGGGGAGAGCCGTTCCAGGATGTTCGCAACAGCAGTGCTGTAGTCGGATTCCTCTCCCTCTGAGTTTTGGGTTGCGCGGCCTTTCTGGCAAAGTTCCAAACAAAGAGCCAGAGTCTGTCGGCACGTCTTCGAACCGTAGCCGCCTTTGCGCTGAAACGCCTGTCTCACGCGCTCAAGGCTTGGTTCCTTTGATGGCTGATGATGGGGCGCTTCCTCTGGCATCTTTTCAATTGGTTGAGGGAGATGTTCAGATGTCTTTACCAACGCCCTGTACCGAGGATGCAACGATGCAACGTTTGGATCTTGTGTAGATCTTTTAGTATCACGTCTGACTCTAAACCCCATCCCTATTGAATCTAAAATCAAACCTACCCCGAGAATTCAAACACGACTAGATAGGTTACGATTTAAGGGACGATTCTTTTAAGGGACGATTTAAGGGACGATATAAAAGACGATGTACATGTACCACTAAGGGACGATTTAAGGGACGATTCACTCGTAAGGGACGATTTAAGGGACGATTTAGGGGACGAATTAATGAACAGTTTCAGACACGACTAATTCTCGTGATCTTCCATGCGACTTCTGGCTCCGTGCCCCTGAAGAGTGCTCGAGTGTCTTTGCAACAAAAGGGAATGAGACGCTGCCAGGAATCATGAACAGACCTTGAGGCCTTGAGCGGCTACCGGTACAGTCGTAAACGTGCTAAGTTCATTCTTTCTCATTCATCAATCCAACAAGGAGGCTCTTTGGGCAGTCTTGGTCCACCGTCGGGTTTGAGAGCCAACTGCACAGACTGAAACAATCAAAAGTGTTGACAAAAACAATGCGAATGATTGAAATTCGCTCATTCCGTCAAACGAGTTACGAGTGACAGTCGAGTCGTACAACTGCGGTAGTGGTACCTCGACTGGTACCACCCCAACAACACCTAGCCGCTGAGTCGAGTCGAGTCCACTCAAACCGTGATGTCGCTTTTTTTTCGCCTCTGCTGCAGGTGGAAACCGTCCTACCAGTAATCCTGCGCCAAGTGAATAGTTAGTTGAGCTACCGGTAGTCGCTAGCTACCGTATTATACCGGTAGTACGGTAGCAGTACGGTGACGGTTGTACCGGTTCTGTGTTGCGCTTCGGAGGCAAAAACGCACCAAAGATTTACCAGAAAACATCACTTACTTTCTGTCCGAAATGCCTCAAATTAGGCTTCTGAATTCATCCAACTTAAATCTATTACACTGCACGGCCATTGCTTCAGAAACAAGAGCCCACAAGGAACCGGAAGCACTTCCGGTGAATTAAATGTTTGTACTCTTTGACAGAAGTGGGGCAAACGGAAGTGGAAATGGGATTGGTAGCTGTACTAGTACCAGTACCAGTGCTGGAACTTTGGTGTCGACTCTCTGAAGTGATCGTTGGCTCCGTTTTGCCGTTTTGCCGCTCGGCATACCAGTACGGCTGTACTTGCAGTCAGTCCGAAGGTGATGGCTGGTTGTGCTCTGTTAATTCATCGATCCCACAAAAAGTTAGATTGGCAAAAGAATAATCATGTTGGTCAATGCAAGCAACAAAGAGGAGCTCGATGGTGGGCTCAGTCCATCCTCCAGGTCGAAGTTCGACTACAATGGTAGAAAGTCAAGACGGTCGAGCGATGGGGTGGACGACAAGTACGGGAGAATCTCGAGCAAATTGTTTGCAGGAGTGAAGCAGCTCGCCGCCATGCCGAGAAATAGTAGTACTGGTGAGCTCAAAATCTGCAGCACGATATCACCGCGCCAAGAGCATCATGACGTTGCTTTGATGGGAGGCAAGATGCAAACCAAAACTTCCGATTTAGAGCTTTCGGATTGCATACAAAACCTGGTCAAGGCAGCCATGCAGAATCTTGAAGAGGTTCAGAAGGCACAAGCTGAAGGCCAAAAGAGCGGAGATCAGGAGAGCAGAGGTCAGGAGACACAATCTCAGTCTCCAAGCCGGAAAACTTCCAAGCCAAGCGAGAGGAAGAGAGAAGAGAGGAACAAGAAAGGAAACGATGGCGGGGCCAAGAGCAAGTCAATCAGGCGAAGCAAGAGTCACGGCCTGCATGACGAAGAAGCTCGTAAGAAAGGCATCAGGCGAAGTAAGAGCCATGACCTGCCGGACGAAGAAGCTCGTAATAAGAACATCATCAGGCAAAGTAAGAGCCGTGACCAGCTGGAAGAAGAAGCTAGTAAGAAAAACATGAGGCGAAGCAAGAGCCATGGCCTGCTGGAGGAACCTCGCAAGAAAGACATGCGACGTTCCAAATCAGAGGACACAAATCTGAACAAGCCTGGCTCAAGCAAAAAGCCCGAAGGAGGTACTCCTTCTCCTTCGTCAGCCAAGAGATTCCTTCGCCGAGTCAATCGAGGCTCGATTCAGAACACCCAGAGCACGCTCGAGGGGGACTCCAGTGCCACCAACACTCCCACCGGATGTAGCAAGCGTCCTACCAGGAGGGCGAGACCATCACCGGCAGGAACTCACACGTCTCGTATCACCCGAAGGCGTTCCGTCACAGCACTTTCTAGTCTTGTTGATGGCGGCGCACCAAACAGCAATGAGTCGGCAGGAACTCCGACGAGGCGCTGCTCAACCCGAAGACGTTCGGGCAGGGCACTTGGTGGTCTTGATGGCGGCACACCAAACAGCAATGGGGCCCCCAGACGACAACGCCGGACAGGCCATAGCGTGCTCAACAGTCAGATTCGTCAGTCGCTGGGGGGCACAGTGGTAGCAACAGTCCCCAACGTGCACGACAAGGACTTGGATGACGAAGAAGAAGACGACGACAAGATAGCTGCACCGGTGAGCGAGCAAGACCAAGACCTGGAGGACGAGGAAGATGAGGAAGATTGTGTTGTAGAGTCCGAAATTGTCTCATCTGGCATGAACGAAGGCCTATTCAAGCCTTACGCGGGCACTCCTACTACCAGCACGAAAGCATCTGAATCGAGCACGAAACTAGATCTGTCCTCGCTGGATTCGCTTCAACAGCGTTCTACCCATGGCATGCGCCCTACTTCTTATCATGGCCGTTTGTCGTCCAAGTTTCAAGAGCAACCCAAATCAATCTTGTCGCACTCCTCATCTTTTCAGGGGCGCAATGCGTCAGTGACATGGGCGGACCAAGAGGCGCTCACGGCAAGTTCTTTCCACGGAAAAGCGAACGCGACATGGAAGGATACTACTAGACGGACATCTTCAACAATCGGGAGCCGCCCGTTTAGTGGGATTGTCACTACAGCGGATGAACGGACAGTGCTCCGCAAGAATGGAGTCGTATTGCCAATGGTGCCGGGCGCATCAAGAAGCAATAGTCTGACGACAAAGACCGGGGTAGCTTCGAACGAGAGCCTGCTGTTTGTGCCCAAGGGCACGTTCGGGGATCTGAGCGATGGTAACGATTCGGATCTGGATGAGTACGATGAATTTGCCTAGTTGCCGAACTGCGAAGTTGCAGGCCACGAAAGAGACTAGCTAGCTAGATTGTAGAATGATATTAAAACTTGTAAAACTCATAGTGGACATCAGAAAGTTTGCCGTAGCAAACAAGGCCGTGGTTTCATTGGCTGCCTGGATCTAAACTAGTATTCGGTAGGTGGCTGCAAAAGAGCGCTTGGGATTCGATGGAGGCTTCGAGGGTGTCAAAGCCCTACCTATATTAATTAATAAGAAGCAAGTCGCTGGTACTGTACTTCCCCAGAAGACAAGACCAACTTTCCCTGAAACGCACACCACTACTTACAGAAGGGTTTACCAAAACAGTTCCTGGCTGCTGCAAGGCGGTATGGTTGCCACGGCAATATCTCTTTTGGTGGTAACGCGAAACGCGAAAGGTTGGTACCAGTAACGCGAAACGCGAAAGTGTAGGTATGCAACTGCCAACTGCTGTGCGTCCTTGATGGTTGGCTGATAGAAGACAAGACAAGAAGAAGCAAGTCTCTTGGTGCTTCCCCAGAAGACAAGAACAAACTTCCCCTCGACGCACCACTACTTACTGAAAGGTTTACTCTACCAAAGCAGTTGCTGCTGTGAAAGAAGGGTTGTAACGCGAAAGGGTTGACATCCCGCCAAGCAGCCGGGTGGCTGTATGCGACTGCGAACCGTTGGCCTTGATAGAAGAGGAAGCAAAGGCAATACGCCTCTAGCTAGCTACATACAGAAAGGTTTACCAAAACAGTTCCTGGCTACTGGGAAAGAAGGGTGCAAGGGTGAACATGCATCCTCCAAGTGCATGCAACTGCCAACTGTTGTTCTCAATAGAAGAGGAAGCAAGCATGTCTCTGGTGCCTGCTTCCCCAGAAGACAAGAACCGACCTTCAATGAAACGCAACACCACTACTTACTGAAAGGTTTGCCAAAACAGTTACTGTTGTGCTGCAACATGGTCTTGCCTTACTACTAGCTAGCTAGCAGGTCGTTCCGTACCGGTACCCGTCCCGATGTTTACAACAGTTTCGATGTCTTCCTTGCCTCAGCTCTTGCACGCTCACCAAACCAGAATTGCACAGTGTTCCGGTGGCTCGTCGACGGACGATATGCTTATATTATGTAAAAAACATCACAGCTTCACTGGCTACCGTAGCCAACCAGTAGTTGATGGTTGATGAGCAACGAGCAGCCACATGTATGTTTAATGTTTATAGTTTATAGTACATGATGGAGTATGTAAAAAGAAAGTAGGAGACTGGCTGCTATTTCAGCCCAGACCAACAATCGATTTACCATGCCCAGATGGATGGTCTCAGAGTCTCAGAGCAGTCTATAGAGTGGGTAGTGGGGTAAAATATTAATTTTAAGCAATCAAAATATCGCTTCATCCCCCAGCCTGTATCAGACAGCGTCTGAAACGATGGGAGACTTTAAATTCTTCCAAGTTCCAACCTTCCAAGTTCAAAGGCAAATCGTTTAATAAAGGCCAGTCATACCGGTACAGTGTCATACTACTGGATAGCGGTACATGCATGTACCACCGACCTGGAGTCGAGCCAATAAACCACTTTTACTTCAAGCCTCGCCAGTTACTACCAGAAGGCCAACACTTCCGATGGTATTTATTTAATTGACCTACTGGAATGAACCATCTTTCTTCTATCTTCCGTGTTGAGGGCAGTAGGGAGTTACGTTGCACTTTTTCAGTGGATGAAGGAGGCATGTCTGATCGTCCTTTCTGGTCTTTGAGCCTAAGACGAGGCACGTAGACACTGTTTTTCAATTATTGCCAATCGGAGTTCATGGTCATCCTTGGCTGTTCCTATCTAATAATAATTGAGCATTGTACGATCATCCACATGTATGTAGCTCTTGAAAGAATGCCAATGGGAAACAGTTTCAGAGCTGTTTCAGATGCTACGGTATCGGTACAGTTGCAACGGTACATAATATACATCGTCTAATAATTCGTTAGACGTTTGATACCGCCGTAACTTTTTAGATTATGGTTCATTCGTCTTAGTTTGGTGGATTGATAAAAGTCTCACAAACTAGACTAACTGGCTGCTACTGGTGCAACAAGACTTCCAGACTGCATCGTTGAAGAAGGTCCAGGTGCATAGATTGAAACTACCCATAGTTTCTAACGATAGCTCAAAGTTGTTTTAAAAGTTTGCAGACCATGAAGGTTGTCCCGCCGTCATCCCCCCAGGAGGTCGAAGCACCCAATCTATTTCGTATTTTTTCCAAGTCCAAGATCGTCGTCGACATGACGACACCCAAGCGACTCGGTAGTGCGCCCACTTTGAGCAAATATTCCGGCATTTCGAGTGCCGTCGTGTCCTGCCCGCAGCGCAATGCCACGTTCAAGGCGGCCCGCCATGTACAAGTCAAGAAAAAGGAACCCGATGCGCGTAAATTGGCCCATGCCACCTTTGTGGATGAGCAACACAAGCTGCTGAAAGGCTTTGAGGAATTGACCATGAAGCTACGAAACGATATGCCGCACCCGCCTGTATCCAACAAAGATTCCTCCATCAACGAAAAACAAGACAGTAATAATAAGGAAAAGACGACAAAGACCTCGCGAAGACGCAGGTCCCGGTCGGGCAGACGGACACTGACTGACGATGAGAAAGATGGAAAACACGCAACAACAAGGAGAAGGAAAAAGGGAAGCAGCAACAACAAGTCATCATCCACCATTCCTCCCAAAACAGACTCCAGCGGTAGCGACAAGTCGTCCAAGCAACCACCCAACTCTCGTCACAAGGCCATGCGCCGTTGCACCAGTCATGGAGGTCTCAATATTGCGGAACTGTACAGCAGCAACGGCAAACAGGATCCCATGAGACGGACTCAATCCCTGGAATACGAAAACGATGGGGAGAAGAAACGCAGGCGATCTAGCAGCGCCAAGTCTCTCATCAAGAGAGTGAACAGTACTACGAACAGTAGTAGAACTACTTCTCCGAAACGAGTGGCGGACCTCGAGGAACTCTACGCCCAGAGACGGAATCAATCCCGGGACGAGGACAAACCACGCAGGAGGTCCAGCAGCGCAAGCAAGGCTCTCAAGAGAGTGGACAGCAGTACTGCTTCTCCAAAGCGAGTGGCAGACCTCGAGGAACTGTACGCCCAGAGACGACATCAGGACGAAAAGAATGGTGACAACAAACCACGCAAGAGGTCGAGCAGCGCAAAGGGTCTCAAGAGAGTGGACAGTACATGTTCGAACAGTAGTGCTCTGAAGAAAGTGGACAGCGATGTCAGGCTTCGTCGTCATCGTTGGCAAGCCACTCATTCCAAACGAAATGTCATGGAAGATGAGCAGGATGCTACTAAAGAAGAAAAGGATCAGTCTCCTGATCCCTCTACGAAACAACCCGTTCGAACGACGGATATTTCGTTGGCGGCGTCGTCAGACCACAAAGCAAATAGTGGTGGTGGTGAAAGCGTCAGCACAAAGACAGCCCACAAGCCCCGACGTCGAAGGTCTCTTGGTTCCAGTATTCTCTGTACTGGAAATGCCACCGCCGGTGGAGCACGGACCCGACGATGCCGCCGTTCGTCCACAGTGGGAAATGTCCAGCTTCGTCGCGCTCTGTTGGATCAGGAGGGACGACAGTCCAGCATAAGAGATCTGGAAGAAGCTATGAAACAGGAGCAGCAAGAAGCCCTAGACACCAGTCGAAAGAGCTTGCCATCCCTGTTGATGTCGTCGGAGCACCGTGAGGGTCACTGCTTGGAGGAGACATCTCTCTGCCCGGATGCTGCCGGAAATCCTAATCATGATGACGTCGCGTTGGCTTCCTTGGAGCGCCGATCCAATCTCTCGAGGAGGAGTCTCTGCTATCATCAAAGGTCTACCTCATTGAGGTCATTGCTGGTTGACCAGGATGTTGCTACAGCTGGCAATCATCCTGAGGATGACTCGTTGACTTCCTTGGAGCGCCGATCCAATCTCTCGAGGAGGAGTCTGAACTATCATCAACGGTCCACCTCGTTGAGGTCTTTGCTACCAACAGGAGCAGAGGACGGTGGTGACAACGACAACGACGACGACCCGACTCGAGGAGTGGAGACCGGCAGTAGCCTCTTGCACGCTTCGACGTCGTCGTCTCGTCGATCGAAACGAGACTCTGCTGCTGATAGTGGTAGCCTCTTGCACGCTTCGATGTCGTCACGTCGATCCAAACGAGACTCTGCTGCTGAGGATAATAAGTTTGACTCGTTGGTGCAAGCGGCGTTGAATGAAAGTTTCAACAGTTCCTGCAGTTCCACCGCAAGTTCCGTTGTGTCCACTGCTTCCTGTTCGTTTGTGTTTCCAATGGTAAGGCAACCGCGCAGCAGTTTGGTGTCCAACAAGGAGGACGGCAAGAGCAACGGTAATAAGGCCCTGCACAGCTATTTGTATGGCTCGAACGGTGGGGGCTTTGATGATTTGACGGATTTTGACGAGGTTACTTTTGATAAATAATTAAACTTCCGCTGTAATGATCGAATGATAACATAACGAATTCATGACGTTCCTTGTTTGCTTCTTTCTTTGGAGGCCCTTCATGCAGCCTTTATGCAAAGGTACGATGTACAGTATATAGTACTCAGCTCGCAGGTGTTTAGCATGAGAGATGCGGTCGGGGCTCGTCGTCGACTCAACTGACTCGACTCGGAGTCGCCATGGTACCGGTATCACGCCAAGGTTTAGCTGGCCACAGGTCATTCATCCGCCCTTGGATGTTGACCACTTCGTACTTCGTGCTGTTCCTCTCATCCATCAGCCAAAAGCAGAGAGAAAGAAAAACGGTCGAGAGGTGATTAGTACGTAGTAGACCAAGCTACAGTTCGTGCGTTTTGCGACTCGACGTGATATGGTAGTCTACTTGTTCTCCGGCGGCCCATCAGCCTTTTAGCTTCTCTATTACTAAGTAATGACTGAGGGCTCATCCAAAAAAGCGCAAGGTACTGTAGTCGGTGTTTGTCACGAGAGGTGCGCCCTGGGCTTGTGTGGCTGGTTGACTATAGACTCGTTGCGGTGCCGGTGCCGGTACGGTAGGTACCGGTAGAACGTGAATGTTATAGCAGGTCACATGTCATGTCATTCATCGGCCCTCGGATATTTGAATACAGTACTTTCTTTTCCTAACCATCCACCCGTCAGACAAACTCAGAGGGAAAGAAAATGGCTACATCTACTGGTCGAATGGTAGGTGACTACGTTATAACCATGCATTCTCATCCGGCAGCAGAGGCACAGACATACTGACGTTCCGTTTTGCGACGGCCACCGATCGATGTGCGGGCAGCCTACGAACGCACACACATACATAGCTACCGTACACACCAAACCAGCATGCTACGGTTTGTTTGCCTATTGCCATTTTTCTATATTTATGATTATTATGATTTATCAACTAAATGTATTCCTTCTTTTCCTTGTTTGTTGTGTTCGCCCCGACCATTGATAAGGATGATGAGACCGAACGATTGCTTTGTCTCGCGTTTCGTTTCTCTTTTTGTAATATATGAATGTTTCTCTTTTTCCTTTTGTTTGTTTACTCCTCCAATTCCTTATTTACACCTTCTCCAACAGATGCTTGCTAATGAATTTGTTCATACTAAACATGGTGACGGTTTGATGATTGTCAAAGATCTTTTTCAACTTGTCATTGCAGAGAATTTCGCGCTTGTCGTTTGGGTTTTGCAACTCATTGGCTTTGATGTAATCCCACAATTTGGACACGACTTGGGGTCGCGCACACGTGTCGACGCCCAAGACATCCGCCAGTGCATCCGAGAGTCGCCACGGAGGTTGTGTGCCTTTTTGTTTCTTTTTGCCACTCTTGTCGTCTTTCGATGATGCCTTGCGTTTGGGAGGAGTCTTTTTGCTTTTGGAAGATAAATCGAGGGGTGGAAAGGGATGACAATGATGACTAATGTACTTGTTCATGGAGAACATGGTGAATTTGTCACAGCCAAAGACTTTTTTCATTTTGGCATCCAAGAGAATCTCTTTGCGATTGTCGGGATTTTGCAGGTCGTGTTCCTTGATATAGTCCCATAGTCCCTTGACAATTTGCGGACGCGACAATTCGGACGCGTGGAGAAACTTGGCCAATTTGGGAGACAATTCTTTCGGTGCTTGCAGACCGCCTTTTTTCTTTTTGACAGTCTTTTGCGGAGCCTCGTCTTCACTACTGCTCGCTTCTTCGTCACTCTCATTGTCTTCCATGTCGTTAATGGCCTTGGTCAATGCCGCCGTGATGAACTTGGTGCGACTGGTCAAATCCATGCCGCCCAAATGCTTGCTCAATAATTTGCGAAATTTCTTGACGCCCGTCGTGGCCAAATCCACTTTGGGCAACAGTTCGTCAATGGCGCTTTGAATGGTGGCATCAGAAAGCTCTTCATCTTCATCATCATGCGACGGCGACGCCATGGTGCTGGATAGAATGGTATGGCTGATGGACCGGCTCTGTCGCGAAGGTGAATTTTTCGTCGAAGGTTCTCGATCTGTTTTCGTCGTCGAAATTGTGTGCTTCTGCTTTTGGTCAGCTCGCGAAGCCAACAGGACTCCCGCGGGAATTGTCCTCAACGCATGGCACGCGTTGAACAAAGATTCGATTCGATTCGAATCCCGACTCGATTCAATCATTCGATTCTTGACTCGATTAAATCATTCGATTCGATTCGATTGATCATTCGACTGTCTGTGATTCCACTTTTAGGTCAAGTGGAGCTACTAGACTATAGCAAGATCATGTCAATATGGGTCTATAGAGGTTGTAAACCTCCCCTCCAGACTAGGATCCAGGCAAAGGCAATGGCCCTGG